TTTTTTTTTTTTTTTTTTCTCTCTGGGGTCTTTTATAAGGTCACTAGTCCCATTCATGGGGCACTGCCTCATGCCCTCATCACCTCCCAAATACCCCACTTCCTGCTACCATCACATTGGGAATTAGGATTTCAGCATATGATTTTTTTTGGGGGGGGGAACACAAGTGTTCCGAGCATAGGATGGCTCATGTAGCAGGTGGTCCTTGCCCTCCTTGCCCATCCCCTTGTCCATCCCCATGGTAGCCTCCTGGCACGGAGGGCCACTGCCCTCTGCACGTTACCTTTGTTCCCACCAGTCAGTTCAAAGTCTTGCCAGCATTTTCACTCTACTGTTGCTACGCACTTTGAACATCCATGGTGACAACCACATGGGCTGCCTTCCTGAGTGGTCTATTTTATGTCCGAGCAGAGCCAGTGATTGGTTTGGTTGCAATGACTCGATCTTGCGTGGTATGCCTCAACCCCATTTACCCCTCCAGCCCTCTCATTTTGACACCTTGCTTTTGCAGAACATGAGGGTTTGCAGAAATGTGTAGAGTTGATCCTGATTATTTGTGGTTCTGTGTTTGTGAATTTGCCTACTTGCTAACATTTATTTGTAAGCCCCTGATCAGTGCATGTGGCACTTTCCCATCCATTCACAAACATGTGCGCTTGCAGAGTGGAGAAAAGCTTGAGGCTCCAGAAATGCACGTTTCTAGCCGAGGTGGGAGAAGTTAGTGCTTCGTAGCCTTCTTTCAGCTCTCACACAGTAAACAAGGGTCCTTTCAATCTGTTTAGTGCCACATTTTCCACATTTTTGTGTCTTTTCATTGGTAATTTTGCTGTTTCCAATGGTTCTGCGAATAACAAGAATTTATTGTGCTAGAGACTGAATGTGTGTGTCTCCTAAGTTCATATGTTGAAACCTAATCCCCAGTGTGATGGTATTTGGAGGTGAGTAGATTATGAGAACTGAACCTTTGTGACTGGGATTAGCGACCTTATAAAAGAGACCCCAGAGAGCTCCCAAGTTCCTTCCACCAGGTGAGGACACACGGAGAAGATGGCCATCTCTGAACAGGAAGCAGGCCCTCACCAGACACCTAGTTTGCCTTCACCTTGATCTTGGACTTCCTAGTCTCTAGAACTGTGAGAAATAAAATTTGTTTCTTATAAACCATCCAGTCTAGGGTATTTTTGTTAGAGCAGCTCATATTGACTAAGACAGACTGTGTGTGTGTGGATATACATATATATTTAATTGCAGCAGAGATGGCTACACTGAAATAATTCTTTCTTATATAAGAAATGGTGCAAGTGGGTCATTCTGCCGGGTCTGTGCAGACATCCTGCTTACGTTTTTAACCACAGGTCTTCTCTCCCAGGTGTAACTAGCATGGTTAGATGCAGGAGCCATGAGCGGCTCTGGGAACCTGATGGATTTTCTCGATGAGCCATTCCCTGACGTGGGGACATATGAGGACTTCCACACCATTGACTGGCTGAGGGAAAAGTCACGGGACACTGACAGACACCGAAAGGTAGGTGGTGTTCATAAAAGACACATTGAAGGGGATTCCTTTAAATGGCTAGGCCGGGCTTCCATTGCAGTTATGGAGCTCGGGCTCAGGTTTGGTTGTCGTGGGTGGACCAGGTTCTAAGGAAGGGGAGGGCTGTGGGAGAGGCAGAGATACGGTCAGGTAACTACAATACCAGAGGCTTTGGGTGGGAGGTTGTGTCACACACAGCTTTAGAAGTGGTCATTCTGAAGGGAGACATTGATTCAGTGCCACCATTTTGAATAACGTCCTATTTTAACCTATGTTAAATTGCACTTAGTAAGTTTGTTTAATTAAGTGAAGTTTTTGAACTAGAAAGCCCATTTTGTCATGGTGGTAGGTAAATGAAAGAATAATGTGAGTGGGAAATCAGTTGGTTAACTGCATTCATCTTCCCAACCACCCTGTTTCCCCAGGAAGGTTTCAGGGAAGGAGGTGCGAGTTGGAGAATAAACCCGGATGAACTGCTGTGTCTTTTGTTTCTAGATAACCAGCAAAAGCAAGGAGTCCGTGTGGGAATTCATCAAGGGCCTGCTCGATGCCTGGTCAGGATGGGTGGTCATGCTGCTCATCGGGCTGCTGGCAGGTGCGTGGAAGGGTACTCCCGGGGCAAAGCGGAGGTGCCAAGACCCGAAGCGCCAGCTGTTGGGATGCTATTTTGAAAATGGAGTGTTTCTCTTTTATCTCATGCAAGGGATTTAGTACTTGAAATATCCAAGAGCAAAAGACATGACCAGCCCCTGAAAGGTCACCGCTTCTATTCCCAGTCAGGGCACATGCCCAGGTTGGGGACTTGATCCCCAGTAGGGAGGCAGCCCATTGACGTTTCTCTCTCCCTCTCCCTTCCACTCTCTCTAAAATCAATCAATCAAAAAAATACACGCCCATGCACTGAACATAAAATCTGTCATCCATAGGCAAGATCCGAAGGCAGGGCCCGAGTGTGGTCATTGGAGAGCTGTAACTGGAGAGCTGGCCGGCCTCTCCGCACAGTGTGAAAGTCTATGGCCATACTGAATTTTATTGAAAGCACACATTTTACATTCTGTACTACTTGCTTATGAAGAAGGCAAGAAAGTATGGGGAAATTTTGATCTTTAATAATAAAATGCCATATGAGACTGGCTTTTGCTAATACTAGGAGACCCTGGAATGAATTGCAAATATCCCAAGACATTCAAAATAATGTGAGACACCTCAGGAGCTGGAGATACCTCCAGCCCATTCATTGTTCAGACCCTCGGGGACTCTGCGTCCTTCATTTTATAATCCCAGCACCATGCTTCCAGAGTGAATGAATGAATATGTGGAGGAGAAACCTGCACTTTTAATATCCAGTGTACCAGCTCTCCATGGAAATTGTTTCCTGAAGCTTACTTCCTTTTAGGAGGCTGGAAAGTTAATGTCTAGAATAAAGAATTTGAGCGTGCTAAAGAGATTCCTTTAATAAAATCCCCTGCCTATAATAGCAAAAGAGTTATGGTTATAGGATGGACCAGACAATGACCATAATATGGGTGGAATATAGCAAATGCTCTAAGAAAGACAGAACACCAATGGGGCACAGATATAGATTTTGTGATTACTGAGGATTTCAATTTCCAGGTGCTTCTTCATTTGTTCCATATACAATTATAGGAAGGGCTTCATTGTCCTCAGCATATGAAAAAGAGCCAAGAGGAGTGCTTAAGGGGGACTCCTTTCCTTCTAGTCACAGCAGCTGTTCGTACATCTCTCCCAGTCTGTTCTCTCCCAGTGATGTTCCCAGTGTGTAATGGCAGCAGTGTTGGAAGGGAATTAGATTTTATGGATGTTCGGTGTATTGCCACCAATTTGTTTGGCTGCTTCTATGAAGACCTTTGAAAGTAGGTAAGGTGGGAGCTTGCTGTGAATTCTGATGTCTTTGTTTAGAATAGATTTTAAAATCATACACTGTATCATTATCCTTGGCTCCTAAGGAGGAGAAATGAATAGAGGAATGAAGAAATCCAGGATAGATGTTCTGGCATCTTGCTGGAATAAACAGCACAGTGTAGATTTATTGACTAATCTAAGAGCCTGATTAGGCTGTCTTTAACCTGATATTGACCAGTTGGCTTCACTGTCAACCCGATTTTTGTCAGTTCTTTTATGAAGAATCACTTGGGGAATTAAAAAAAATACTTCTGCCTGAGCTTCAAATAGTATATTTGGAGATGATGCCCTAGCATTGAGTAAAGACCCCTTTCACTTCCTCCTGTCCCCCTCCACCTGTGATTCTAATGTGCAGCCAAGGTGAGAACCACTGGAGAAGGGCGAGCTCATGGACACATCAGCAAACGAATATAGGAGGAAGGCAAGAATGACATGATACTGACAGAAGGTTGCCAAAGTGTTCTTTTGATCTGGATGTACCTTGAAGGGAAATCCACCAAACTGTCCCATTCACTTTCCTGTTCCAGAGCTGGTGGAGAGGACTCAGGTGTCCCACTGCCTGGCCTGTCATCTCCTCAGTGGCATCCTGGACATTATCTTCTGACTCCTGAGATCCAAGTCTAGGGTCTCCTCTGCAGTGCACTTATCAGGATTTATCACTGGGTGTCACTGTTGCTCCACAGAACAAAGCATTAACAAAACATTAACGAAGCAGTTATTATGAATCACCACTGGGTGTCACTGTTGCTCCACGGAACGAAACATCAACAAAGCAGTTATTATGAATCGCCACTGGGTGTCACTGTTGCTCCATGGAAAGAAGCATTAACGAGGCATTTATTACTAGTCACCACAGGGTGTCGCTGTTGCTCCACAAGTGAAGCGTTTATCAGCAATCACCACTGGGCGTTGCTGATATTCCATACATAGAAGGAAGCTGAAACTTCAGGACTGTGAGAAGCAGAGTTAGGCAGGAAGACTGGGTGTGGGATAATGTGATTATGAATGAATGAATAAATGAATGAATGAATGGTGGTGGAATTCAGGGTGATCACTGGGTCTGGCTCCTGGCTATCTGCAGGACCCCTCCCTCACCTTCTTTAGGTCTTTGTTCAAATGTCATCTTTCCCTTGAGGAATTCCCTGATCACTTTTTCTAAAAGTACACTTCTCCCTCCCTGAGCCTCATGCCCCTCATGCACTGTGTGTGTGTGCATGTATATAACAGCTTTATTGTGGTATAATTTGCATACCATACAATTCACCCAGTTAAAGTATAAAATTGAGTGGTTTTTAGTGTATTCACAGAGTTGTGCTGTCATCGCCACAATCCCTTTTAGAACATTTTCATCGGCACCCAAAGAACCTCCATGCCCTTTAGCCATCAAGCTCCAGTGTCCGCTGCCTCCTCCCAGCCCCTGGCAACCACCAATTTACTTTCTGTCTCTCTGTTTGCCTGTTCCGGACATTTCCTGTAAGTGGACTCATACAATATGTAATCTTTTGGGATTCACTTCCGTTACTCAGCGTGACGTTTTCAGGGTTTATCCATGCCATTCCACACTCCGTTCCTTTTTGTTGCCAAACACTATTCCGTTGTGTGGGTGTAACACATTTTCTTTCTCCATTTAGCAGTTGACAGACATATGGATTGCTTCCACTTTCTGCTGTTGTGAATAGTGCTCCTGTGAACATTTGTGTGCAAGTCTTAGTGTGGATGTGTGTTTTCATTTCATTGCTTGGTTAGATGGTACCTCTAACTTTTTGAGGAACTTCCAGACTATTTTTGGAAGTGTCTACACCATTGTAACATGCTATACAATATACAACATGATATAATATATATTATATAGATAGTATGTATATAAAATCATGATATCAGGATATGATAGGTATGGTGATGGGTAAATGTCTGGGAATTATACCTAACCCAAACTTAGGGAATCAAGGAAGGCTTCCTGAAGGAGGTAATGTAAGTGCCAGAATCCAGAAGATAAATAGGAGATTGCTGGGTGTGGGGAGGACAGTGCTGCCTGAGATGGTGCAGAGAGAAGAGCTTGGTGGGCTCCAGGAACATGGAGTGGGCGGGTGTGGGGGTTAGTGATGGAGAGAGATGAGGCTGGATAGGTACGAGGGGCCAGCTGTTTGAGTCTGCGGCCTGTTGGGGATTCAGGCGTTCTCCCAAGAACAATGGGCAGTTTTGATGTAACAAAGGAGGAGCAGGGAGGGGTGAGCCCCAGTGAGGGTATGTGGATGCCTTTGGTGTTGATACAGGTAGGTGTGATATTATAATAAGGATTCAACAAAAGTTTGAAAAATTTAGTAGCCCGAGAGTATTTCCTCCCTTGATAAAAGACTTGATTAGCTTATTCTGGAAAGATACCCAGGGTAGCCCTCTGTGGCCCAGTGCACACTCTATTTTATCCCACTTCTACCAGACTTTAAAGTGGTTATTTACTTATATAGATCCACTATCCCTTATACAATAATTTAAAAAATCCAGAAAGTTCAAATAAGTGAGACTTTTCAAGTTTGGTTCCCATTTGGTGGCCAAACCTTACTTGAACAGTGAGGCTGTCATCATGCCTCCATTTTGTCTGAATTGTCATACTTCCCTGAGAAACATTAATGTGTGTGACCCCAGCCTCCTGCTGCAGAGGCCGTTACGGGGTTATGTCATTTGTAGGGTGCACGCACCCTATTTCTGGAATTTTGGAGGGATGGATTCTGCAAGCTGCTCGGCTTTGGTGGCTCATGATGAGCAAAGACCTGCATGTCCCTCATCTGCCTGATTAAAGCAACCGAGGACCACACATCATGGCCTTTGTGTCTCGTTGGGCTGGGCACTGCCCCTCCCACGTCCTAAATGCTCAGGAGACTTCATGACAATGAAGGAACTTCCTGTGTGTGGCACCTGTGGGAGATTGCGTCCTCCTCTGGTATGTGGCCTTTTCGGCTGCTGTGCTCCTGTGCTGGCCTCGTGGGGTGTGTTCTCACCATGTCATCGTGGGGCGATTCCTCTAAATGGCTCTTGCTGTTTCTTGCAGGCACCTTGGCCGGGGTCATCGACCTTGCTGTGGACTGGATGACCGACCTGAAGGAGGGGATCTGCCTGTCTGCCTTCTGGTACAGCCATGAGCAGTGCTGCTGGACCTCCACTGAGACCACTTTTGAGGACAGAGACAAGTGTCCCCTGTGGCAGAAATGGTCAGAACTGCTGGTGAATCAGTCAGAGGTGGGTTTCTGGGCGGGGTCCCGAATGGGAACGCTGCCACTCAGCAGTCACTTTGGGACAGCGTTGGGCGTGTGACTCTGTGGTTTCACCTTCAAGTGTGAGGTGGTAGCTCACTGTGGTTTAAGTTGTCACCTTCCACTGAATCTTATGAGTACATGGCATAGGATGTTTCTGGGCCTCCTATGGCAGGAATGCCCAGGCACAGGGGGGAGTGGCGAACCACAGACTGGGCGCTGGCCCTCATGCCCTTAGAGCTTCAGATCCGTATAAAACTCTTAGTTTGGGAAAAGGGTTAACTTCTCACCAAATTCCGTGGCTATCACAATGACTACAGGTCACTGACGGGGCAGAAACCCAGGTGAGGGGGAGCTGGGTTGCCAAGGTTCACATTTAGGGAAATGCGAAGATGGTTCAATTGGAACTCTTCTCGGAAAATGTAATGTATTCATCTCCTCCTGCCTCCACTTTTGTTGCCCGATGGACTTACTTCAGCTGATGACGTTTGCAATGCCCTTTGACATTTTGCTAAACCTCTTTCCCGGTGAATTGAAAATTAATTTCTTCAACTCTCAGAAGTAGATGGGATCTTGAAATCTCACACATTCTCAGTGTTCTCCATCACTTCCAGAATAAATCCCCTGGGGTTGGCAGCAGTGGACAGGCAAAACTGGCCGAGCACCATATTTTATTTCTTCTCTCCTACTTGCAGTATATTTTTTGGGGGGAAACATGGCCGTCCATCTTTTTAGTCGTTTCTAAGATTTATACTTTGATTCAAAGAATTACCTTTAGCAAAAGTGAGAAGTTATGTTTAGTCTGAAACAGGTACATTTCAGAGCGGGTGATATGTGTTCTTCATTTGGCTTTCTCAGCACATAGGTGTGAATATATGTGAGTGTAAAGGGCCAAGCAGCCTCCTGGAGCATGTTTCTGCATTTAATAGGCACACATGTGGCCATGGCCATGGCCTGCGTTGTAGGTGACCTTGCTTTTCTGCCCTGCACTTGAGTCATCCAGATGGTCGCAAGAAGCTGAGACCCAGAGAAATGTGGTCCCCACCCAGCAGACCAGGGCCTGAGCACCAAGGAGCCCAGACTGTGTTTGGTCCAGAAAGCTTTGTCCAAACATCAGGTCATTTGGGAGAAATGGTTCAATGAATTGTTCTGAGAGAACAAGTTGCCCGGTCTAGAAGTGCCTCTCCAACGTTAGCACGCATCCAGGGCCTCTGCGGGGCACCCAACTCCTTGGGAGTGTCTCATTCAGTAGTGCTGGGGTGGGGCCTGGGGCTCTGCATTCCTAATACGCCCAGGGGCCGCCGATGCTGGCTGTGTCTGCAGGTGTCTACTGTAGCAGTAGTGGCAGACGACAAAAGCAACGCTGCCTTTTCCTCGACCTGGGACCCAGACCGAAGCTGCCCAATGCGGTGAACATCACGGGGAGGGCGGGACACGGGCCTGCCGCAGCTCACCCGTTCCTTCTCGTTCTGTGTCTGGTCAGGGCGCCAGCGCTTACATCCTGAATTACCTGCTGTACATCCTGTGGGCCTTGCTGTTTGCGTTCTTGGCTGTTTCCCTGGTGCGCGTCTTTGCGCCCTACGCCTGCGGCTCGGGAATACCGGAGGTGAGTGGGGCCGAGTCTCTCCTGTGCGGATAGAGAACAGCAGATAATTCCGGAGCACTTAGCGGCCGAGACAGGTTCCAAACATCTGACACCTATTAACTCATTTACTCCCTACAATGAACCTGTGGGGTAGGCACTGTTATTCTTCATCTGATAGTTGAGGAACTGAAGCACAGAGAAGTTAAGTAACTTGTCCTAGGTCACTAAGCTGGTAGACTGGGAGTTGAACTCAGGATTTACGCTCTATATTCAGGATTTATGCTCTATTGTTTCTCGGATGAATAGTCTTCTGTTTGTAAACCACACAAAACCCTCAAAGCGTGTGGGATCAGAATTCATTAACTACACCCATAAGTGTGGTACTTCTGTAACTTGTGGTAGATCTGCAATGTAATGCAGAAAGAAACAATGGAAGTTTGTTGCTCAGAAGGTTTGCTGATGGGTAAACTCCGTTGCCACGATTTGCTCTTGTGGCGACAAGTAATAGCAGTCTTTACAAAACCCAATTCCACGTGAGGGCATGCACTGTGAACGCACCCCCGTGAGCTCAGACTTCTGATATTTTCCAGCACTTCCATGCAACCTAAGTATGAGGGAAGTGACCTCATCGATTAGGAGGAACGCTGGAGACTAGACTTCAATCCCAGGATGATCTACTGGGTAGAATAACGATAATTGGGCTAATTCCTGAGAAGCCCAGAGAGTGAACATTTTAGCCAGAAATAACCTGCAAGTTCTTAGATGATCACTATGAGCTGTGCGGCTCAGTTCTCCTTTGGGTCGGTGCTTCAGCTGTGCCCAGAGGCAGTGGAGACAGCAAGTGTCAAGATGTGAGCGATAATGGCGACCCACACGCTTCGCTGGTGCCGCCAACACTGCCGCTGGCCCAGGTGGTTCATGGAAAGGGCTCGAATCATTAAAAGCTTGTTGGGAGAAAAGCTTGACATGTCTGGTTCAAGGAGTGACAGAAAAAATTCCTCTACTCGGCACATGCGCAATAAAAACTAGACGATGGAATGAAACTTTTGGACATGCGCAATGGGAGTCAAAGTGATGAAATAGAGGGGCATGAAACCCCAATAGAATTTACTGGGAGGAGGGCTCAATCCAAGCCCTGAAAAAGTTAGGAATTTGGGTTGGAAATTTAAATGGTCCTTTGTTCCAAGAAGATATATGGAGAATTAACAAAAACCTTGTGGCAGCTTCTAGAGCCTGCCCACTCTCTAGCTCCCTGAGGGTATATTAATTGTCCTTAATTCACAATAGGATCTTACCATCATGCTGACTTTGTGAGGGTTTATATGAACATATTACTGCAGGATCCCAGCACTCTGCACAATCACACAATACGAACAGATGCACAATCACACAATACGAACAGAGCTGCTGGCGAAGAAGGCTTGGGGCACCACACTCACAAACTCCGTTGGTGACATGGAAGAAAGAGGAGCCCAATAAAAACACTAGCCCAGTTTTGCACACGTGAAATGGTTAGGAATCCATGTGTGCTCCCCAGTGCACGTGTGAACCGGCAGGTGTCTGAGGCACGTGCCGGTGCCGTCCTGCCCGGCTGGGCTCAGCTGGTGCCGTTTTCTGTGCTCACCCCGTGTTTCTCCCGGATGAAATTGTGCGTAAACAGGTGCGAGATTGTTATGCTCAAGTTCTTCCCTAGTGCCCAAATCGCATTGGAACAAATTTGTGTTTTCAAAACAATTATGACAGAACTGACTGTACTTTATTTAATACCCATGACCTACGGTACCCCGGACGTTAAAAAGAACCGATGGATGTTGGCATCTTAGTTTATCACCCCGCTGCCAACAGCAGGCATTTTTTGATTGAAGCCGCCTTGTAAAAATAAGGAGATGGCCAATGGAGAACTGGCGGGAAACTCAAAGCAGCTGTGAAAGGCCGACGGCAATGCCATCTTCGCCTTCCATGAAGTGGGGGTGCAGGCACAGCGGGTGGGCCTGCACCCCCACAGGGAGCTGGAACCTGAGCTGCCCGGAGGGCCCGGACTTTGTCTTCATCTGAAGCCCGTGTCTTTCTCTGCATGAGAGTTGTCAAAAGGGGCACAATGCTGAGTTCAGCGTGAAGTTTCCTATGTGAGCAAAGTGCAAGGAACACACTGATGGGGATGAAACTCAACATAGTGAATTCAAGTGACAGAAGTCAGTCGCGCAAGAATATATAAAGCATGATTCTAGTTACACGATGCTGCTAAACAGCCCGAAGGCAGCAGCATCGTTTAGTGACGCGCACACTGCCAAGCTGCAAAGAGCGGCGAGGAGGCGATCAGGGTGCGGGAGGGGGCCCCCTGAGGAAGCCCACACTGGGCTTTCAAAGGGCCCACTGTTCTCCCAAGTGTGGCAGTGAGCACATGGGCACTTGTTTCATTCATATGCTTTTAACCACATATACTATGTACCATCCGTTCCTGCATTTATAAAAGAGTTCACAATAGTCTTTTAAAGTGTCAGTAACCCAGTGGAGGTTTCATAATTAAGTTTTGGTTATCATGACTCAGTAGTAGCAAAAGTTTCACTATTATAATAGAGCTTGATATTACTAAGGTTACGGTACCTACCCCAGTTCTTGGAGGGAAAGGGCAGAGTAACAAATGGAAATAAATTGTTTCTGGATATAAAGAACTTCCTCCCAGTCAAGACCCAACTAACTATGTAAACTGACTGCACTCAAATTGAGATGCAGGGCCACTCTTGGTTTTAGCAGAGACACTCACTAAGCTATTTGGGAACCATGCCTGCCATCATTGGACTGATCTGCTCTCAGCTGTTACGGGGCGTGCAGTGTCCGACAAGCGGGGACCGCACGGAACTTCTGCGTGGTTTAAAAATTGCTCACCCTCCCCAGCATTGGCCTCTGAAGCATTTTGATGACAGAATGAAAATTCCTTTGGAAACATTTTAAATGCAAATTGAGAGAACATTTTTCTCTGTAAGAAATGCTCTTGTCTACTGGCTCTAAAGCGCATTTAAATGCGAACACTCTTCTTGGATTTGGGGATTTAGAGAGGACCGGGCATAGGAGCCCTCTTTCTATTTTGTTTGCTTCATTATCAGAACCGCTATTGACTATGTAAGAAATCATGTCCTCTTAGAACTTGCTTTGAGCTGGTGTTTCATTACAAAACCCGAACGCTCTCACAGATATTTATTAACTCCTTTAATAAATCCGCTGAAGTTCATCTCATTAAAACCCTGCTTGATTTGGTCTCTATTAATTCAAATTAAAGCAAGTGATTGGATTTGGGCATCTAGTGGGAACGAATTTACTTTCTTTAGTCCCTAATTTGATCATGGCAATTTTATCAAATCATTTTAGAGAATTAAAAAGTACCTATGACATTGTTCAATTTACCACATGCCCTGGCTGGTGGAGGCTCAGGTAATCGAGATGCGTGTAATTTTCTAAATGGTATGAGGCTCTTCAACTCTACCCTAGGGTCCAAATTCACATTAACTAACTGACAAAAAATTACAGATAATTTTATTCAAGGCAACACAAACGGGCATGATTGCGGCAGGCATAATAAAACACCCCTCAAGTAAATGAATCTGAGATGCCCAGGCTCAAGTAGGCCAAGTGCTACTTGTTAAAGGTCAGTTTAACCACTGTTAGTTAACAGCTAGTGCAAGAAATAGCATCTGATTATGTAGCTAGAAGACCTTAGTCACGTTCTACGGGAAGGAGTGCCTTGAGTTTTTCTCACATGCTCTCCATCTTTCTCCTGGAATGGAGCAGTGAGTGGTTCTCTACCTGGGCTGCATTTTAGAATCACCTGGGAAGACTGTAAAAACCCCCAGGCCCAGGATACACCTCACACCAATGACATCACATCTCTGGGGTTCTGATTCCTGAGGTGAGTCCAGTGAGCGCCAAGGTTGAGAAGGATTGCTATAGCTCTTTGAGAAATTGATTCCTTGGCAGAGAAATGCCCACTCAGAAGACACTTTGAAGTGATGCAATGTCCAGACACTGACAAGAGATAACATTGCCCTGTTTATTATACAATGGAAAAACAGAAACTGACCATGAATTTCACTGGCTGATTTACTCGGTGTCCTAATTAATTTATGATTACAGGGTTGTAAATTGCCAGCTGTAAATATTTACTCCATTTCAGCCATTCAGGTGAAAAGTTACTTACCCATTGGTGATGCTTCTGTATCGCAAAGAGTATAGTTTGGAGGAAGAGGGCTCCAATATACGAAGTTCGTCACTTAGGTTGGCACCCAGTTGAATTCTCAAAGCATCAGGCAAACTCATGTGCACCTTCAGGAAGAAAGCCATTATGTGGCACTTACGGAATGTGGTGGGTTTGAAAACGGAGTGAGGCAACTCTACCTGTTGTCAAAGTCCTTTTCAATACAAGAGGGCAGGAATCGGAAGGGAGGGGTCGTCATGGATACACACATCTTCACATCCTTCTGAGGTGCGTTATTAGAAAACATTGAGCATCTTCTTTTTCCAACATGGTATTAAGAATATTTTCACACACATACAACAGTTGAAAGAATTGGAGGTGAACACCCATAAACCAATTCCCTGCAGCAGGAGTCGGCAAGGATTGGCAGACTTTTCTGGAAAAGGACAGTCAATGTTTTCAGCTTTGTGAACCAAGAGGCAAAATGGAGCAACTCTTCTCACTAAAAGGCTAGGAGTCTTGTTTTGTTTTATGTATTACATTTAAAAATGTTAAAAGCACTCTTAGTGTGTGGTTCATACAACACTAGGCAGTGGGCTTGCATTTGACCCACAGACACGACCTGAAGTTCCATTGACATGCTGTTCTGTGTGCTTTGTCACACAGCTTTCTCTCTGTGTCTTGAACATCTTTCAATAATTAAAAATTAACAGTTAAAATCAATAGCTACATGTCTCTTTTCAACACAACAGAGGGTAATGTGAGCAGGATAAAATGCCACAAATAAAATGAGACTCTGATAATTACTCTTCAGCCCTCATTATGATCTTACCACTCTAGGAATAATTAAGATTGGCTATGCATTGCACTAGTTTCACATTTCCATTAGTATAATATAAAATTATATGCTAATATAAATTCTGTTACTAAAAAGCTATAGCTAAATCAGAAATGAAAGCAGCCTCTCTTCGATGTGACTCAGTGACTCTAGGCTTGAGCGATACCTCTCAGGGGAATGAGTTCTTTCCAGCTGTGGCACTGAGGCAGCTCACACCTCCTCTTTTCTGTCCTCTGTTGCAGATAAAGACCATTCTGAGTGGCTTCATCATCAGGGGCTACTTGGGCAAGTGGACCCTGCTGATCAAGACCGTCACCCTGGTGCTGGTAGTGTCCTCGGGCCTGAGCCTTGGGAAGGAAGGGCCGCTGGTGCACGTGGCTTGTTGCTGTGGCAACTTCTTCAGCAGCCTCTTCTCCAAGTACAGCAAGAACGAGGGCAAGAGGCGCGAGGTGAGCAGGCTCAGCTTCTCTGTACTGGGAGGTGCCCCCCCCCCCCCCCCC